TTCACAGCAGGGTAAAAAGTCTTTCCCTTTCACCATTTAAATATAATTGAAGCAAGAACCAATTATCAAAGGACAGCAAGAAGTTAAAGGAGACATATAACAGCCATAAATATAAATGAAACCATTGCAGACCTCTCACATCACTTTAGTTTTTCAGAAGTGTGTTCATACAGTTCATAGTCACATCAGAGACACTCAACAGAGAAGATTTACTTGGCTAATCAAATACTCTATTTGTAAGATAAGTTTATATCCCCACAAGGAGGATTAAAAACCCTCTTAACCTCCATTCTGTCCAGCAGGGAAATGGGTAGACTGAATCAGTCTTGTCAGGAGAACCTGGTGTATCTTATGACACAGCACAAAGAAAAATAAGTGCTAGAAAGAGTACCATGCATGAATAATTGAGAAAGAAATCATGAAAAATACAATTAAAAGAAATCTGTAGGAAGGCTATAGCCCAGACATGTCAAACTTGCGACGTCGCGCAATGTATTAGAGCTTTTTCACCATTGCCGGCAATGGGGTGGGCGTGGTTTCCCGATGACACGTCCGGCCCACAGGTCAGCAGTTTGACACCCCTGCTATAGCCAGATCAAATGGGATCTGACAGATAATCATGACCACACTTTCTTTTGTTTTCTGCAGCAAATACAGAGAAGACATGCTGGAACTCTAAAATAGAGCATTCACTCAAGTAAGTTTACAGAATTTATAAGAAACAATGTTCTTGTCATGAAATCTCATCTACTTACCACAGAGATCAGGTACACTGACAAGCTGACCAGCAAAAAAAGTAGTATTCGCTTATAGTCATTTGTTTAACATGTTTAAAGTTATGATGGCACTGAAAAAAGTTACTTATGACCAGTCCTTGCACCTATGACTATCAGAGTCCCTGTGGTCACATAATCAAATGTTGGCTACTTGGCAACCAGCATGTATTTATAACAGTTGCAGCATCCCAGTTTCATGCAATTGCATTTGCAACCTTCCCTGGAAGCTTCCAACAAGCAAAATCAATGGGAATAACCAGACTCACTTAAGAACATTTGTTTAACATTCATGACAAAAAGGTTATAAAATCAGGCACGACTCATTTAACAATCACATCACTTAGTGATGGAAGTTCCAGTCCAAATTTTGGTCATAAGGACTATCTGTATTTTAAGCAACAGTCCAGAAGTGACCGATTCCCAGCTTGTAATGGTGCTCCAGCTCATAATCTGCCATAATATGCCAAAGATAGGTTAGATATAGCCCTCCCTCCTTTATGTACAAAGGCAGCTGTGTGATTCTGGCCTAGCTACTCTCTCTTAGCCCTAGGAAGAAGGCAGTGGCAAACAACTTCTGAAATTTTGCCAAGAAAACTGCAGGAACCTGTCCAGGCATTCACCAGGAGTCAATACTGATTTGAAGGCATGCATACATGCACAACACACATGCAATGATACTTCATCAAAAAGTAGAAAACAGTGAACAGTATTGGACACATTTGTCAACAGATTACTTGGATTTCCTCAATTCCCAGAGGAAATGTGTTCATGTAACAAATAAAAATACAATAAATATGCATCAGAGGCATTCACAAAAAGTATCATTAATTTGCTTCAGTGTTTGTATGTTTGGCATATTAACTAATCCCAACCTGCCAGTTAATTTATGATTCAATACATGTGAATCCAGAAAATGCATTCATTCCATAATCAGGTTATACAGTATTTATATGTACCCAGAAAATCTCATAAAAGATTTATTGCTCTCAAAATTTTATTGGTATGTGTGTGTGTGTGTGTGTGTGTGTGTGTGTGTGCGTGTATGTATGTAAATGTGTATTTTAAATAAAATTATCATGTCTATAACAATTTGATATAAACACTTATTTTCCTAGGGAAAGATGGAATGTATTAACTTTTTTACTTTAGGACTGATGCATTCGCAGATGAAATTGAACCAGCACCTCCTAAAATATATGAATTGTTGTCTGTATCCAGCACTTTCCTGATGAGTGGCCTGATAGTCACAAAAGTAAAAAGCCATTTTCTAGGCCAGCCAACACAGTAGACCAGCCATTCTGCATTCCAAACATCAATCTACAGAGTTACTCAGTCACCTATGTATATGGGCTAGATCATGTATGTGCTCCACACTGAGAGGATTGGTTAATACACAAGGCACATATTCATATATCTCTAATCAAGGCTGAGAATATAATCATACCCCACAGTGGGTGATCACTGACTTGCTGGTTAAAAAAAATCATGAATAGCCTTGCAAAACCAAGGCACTGTGATGTTAGAATCTACTCAAGTTAATTTGCACCCTGTTTTGCAGAATGCCAGGCTTTTCCTGACAAGACTTCACCCTCCCTTTAATCTTTCTAATTCTCCCCTTTAGGCCAGCCAGTCCAGACATTTGTGAAGTCAGTGCAAGGAGACAGACAAGACTCAAAGAAACTACGGAGCCGCAAACTAAAAATTCCCGCATGGCCCGCACCCCAAATTTAGAAACTGCCTACAGAGGCTGAGGCAGGGAGACAAGCAAGTGCTCAATTTCTCGGCTTCCACGGCAAGAAGTCCGAGTGCCCCTTCTGCGGCGACATCCGTGGCGCAGCAAAGAAAGCTATTTTGTGGCTGGCAGAGCCTGCCATTGCTGCCCGGGGAAGATCGTGCATTGCCGCCTTCTCTCTCAGCTATCAGCACCACCATCCCCGAGGACGCTCTGCCGAGTCACGGCGGCCTGTAGCGCGCTGGCAGGTCCCACCTGGCGAGCCAGGACCAGGACGCGGCCGGGACGTTTGCTCCAGCAGACAGCGCGCTCTCGCCGCCGCCGCCGAGGAGCACAAGCGGGATGAGGGCGAGCGGCAGCGCTGCCCCTCACTAAGGAAAAGCCACAGCCCGCCGCCCCTTTAGAAAGGCAAGCTGCGGCGGCAACTGCAGCCGCGAATAGCACCCCTTCCCCCGACCTGCCTCCGCTCTAGGGAATACCCCGCAGTGGCGGCCCTTCGGGAAAGGATCACCCGAACAAGCGAGGAGGGGCCATGACAGGGCACTTTCCGCCTCCCCGATGCCCGCCTCCCTCTGTTGTTCGGCCCTCCCCAACCGCTTCCCTTCACTCACGGCGGTGCCGGCGCGGCAACGGCGGCTGGCTGGCTCCGTCTTTGCCCTCCCGCCGACCGGCTTGACTTCTTACGGTAGCAGAGGCGGCGGCGGCGGCGGCTCCTCCTCCGAGTCCGCACCGACCGGGCCGGCTTTGCGGGGAGGGGGGGAGGAGGTTCCCACGCATGCGCCGCCCCCTAAACAAGCTCAGGATGGCTAGGCCTCATCTTCAACCCCGCCCTTCCCACTGTCATAGCAACCACAAGGGGGGGGAAGCGAGTGATTTGCTACTGCTCCCATGACAACCGAGGCATGAGAAGTCCCACCTACACGCTGCCTCACAGTGCCAATCACTTCGCGCAGTGTCCCTGACATAGAAGGGAGATCGCCATCCCAGAAGTGGCAAGTTCTATCAAGTGATCCTGTTCTGGCTAAGGCACCAAAGCGACTCGTCTTTGTATCTCCCTCTTTTCAGTAAACCGCTTTACCGTGATCCACTGCTCCTCTTCTCTTGCATTTTAGCAGCTTTTCCACCGATTTAAAAAAAAAAAAAAATAGAATACTTGGAGTCTCATACTCCTGATTACCGTTTATTTAAAAAATACTTCCAGACTGTGTAACCCTGAAAAATTAAGAGATTTTAGTTCATTGCATTGCAATGGCCATCGTAATGCAATGGACAAAATACTTCTGTATACTGTATGCTTCTGTATATATGTAAATTCTAGTGAAATCATGTTCAGTTCATCCTGTAAGTTATGAAATGCTGTCCAAACAGTGACATGTCTTGTTTTAGACTCAGTATGTTCTGATTTCTGCAGTATCTTTCTTGCCTGCCCAAAGGGACCTCTTTTGGAAGCACCAGCCACTGACCTACAAAAATGAAAGAAAAATTACCAGTAGCCTAGAGGAGTGTCAGTTAATGTTCTCTCCCTAAAAATGGAAAAAGTGAAATTAGGATATGTCATTTCAAACTTGGTAAGAGCAAAACAAGACCTATACATGGCTGAAGTTAGAAACAAGAGGAAAAAAGCTGATTCTCAATCACCTTATTGTGTCAAAAAGATGGGATCTTCATAAAAGCCATGGGATGATTGTGATGATAATGTTTCATGACATTCCTCTCTCTTAAAAGGTTCTTGACAAGATAGCTCACATTTTCTGCCTTTTAAAAGAACAGTTGTAGAAACCTATGCTGCATCTCTATGTCAGGATAGAATAACTCCCATCTGATTGCCTTAAGAATTCTGGGAATTGTAGTCCCAAAATGCTGTGGAGATTCTCAGTCATCCAGGTCATGGTTGTCCCGAAGGTGATTTTTCAAGAGGCAACTGAACTTTCCTGTTTTTCTTTGAAGACATTTTGCTTCTCATCCAAGCAGCTTTTTCAGTTCTGACTGGATGGTGGGGAATGGAAGGATTTATATTCCTTGCAGACAGATGGTCATTTGCATTCTTTTAGAGAGTCATTGAGGCCACTTGGAGGTTTATCTGTGTCCTCAAGGTCACCTGAGTAGTGCAAATGGGTGTGGAGCCTTCTTGGAACTGCTGAAAGGACTGCTGAAAGGAGATAGATGATGCCATATTTCCCCCTCCCCCTATTGAGGGAGGGCTGTTCAATTTTGACATAGATGGCCTCTTTGACCTCTTTTTTAAACCAGCAGTCCTCTCTATCCAAAATGTGGACTTTGCTGTCTTCAAAGGAGTGGCCTTTGTCTTTTAAATGCAGATGACTGCTGAATCTTGTCCTGATGGTCCCAAAATATCTGGAATGTATCTTGTTGAAGAAGGCTGATGTATTACATCATAAACCATGATAAAATAAGAAAAGTTCTTATAAATTATTCAGACATTTGTCAAGTCCTGCTAATCTAATCTTATTACCCTTTTTTGACAGGACAGCTATCTTGGTTGAGAAAGACACCAAAGGATTTTACATCAACCGCTTCATTGGAAGCCAATGTTGGGAGGACCACCAATTTCCTATTCAGAAATATAAAAGAAAATGATCAAGACTGGTACAAGTAGTTCTCGACTGACCACCACAATTGGGATAGAATTCCATTGCTTATTGAGGTAGTTATTAAGTGAGTCACACCCAATTTTACAATCTTTTTGCCATGGTTGTTAAATAAATCACCTTGGTTGTTAAGTGAATCACACGATCATTAAATTAATCTGACTTTCCCCACTGACTTTGCTAGTTGGAGCCAGCTGGGAAGGTTGCAAATGGTGCTTGAATTTTGATCATATGATCACAGGGACATTACAATGGTTGTGTGAGAACTAGTCATAAGTCGCTTTTTTTCACTGCCATCATAACTTGGTCATGTCATGATATATATGGTTGTAAGTTGAGGACCATCTATAAACTATTTCCAGATCAAAGATGGATTGTGGCTATTTGTGTGGGGAAGGCATAAAGCTTTGACATTGCACTGAGGCATGTTTTCTGGTTGACATTATTTGCCATTATAAGCCACAGTGCCAAGTCTGAAATCTGGAACAAAGTTCATAGTTTGAACCTTTTCTAATTAAGTTATGCATAGATGAGATCATAGTGATTAGAAAGCTATAAACAAAGGTAATAAAGCCAGCAGAGCATGAGGAAGGACAATCTGGAGTTCAGTGCAGTGCAGCTTTTTTAGAATTATGTCAGCTGAGGAAAAATGCTTGCGATGTTAGCGGATGAGACATATTGGAAGGAATTGCAAGAACCTTTGGATTGAAGGCAATGAGAGAGAGCCAGTTTGATATAGTTGTTAAGGCACCAAACTAGAAATTGGGACACTGTGAGTTCAAGACCCATTTTAGACACAAGGTCAGTTGGGTGACCCTGGGCCAATCACTCTCTCTGAACTCTAGAAAGAAGGCAATGCAAACCACTTCTGAAATCTTACCAAGGAAACTGCATGGATTCTCCCTCCCTCCCTCCCTCCCTCTTTCTCTCACACACAGAGACACACACACACAAACAAAAATTGGCAATAATATAATAAGTTATATAAAAATAAAAATTCACACTGCAACTAAATAAGGGACGAAATCCACCTTAAGCTTTCTTTTCTTCAAAACTGTTACTAAGTGATCATTGAACATTGCAAGATTACAGGAAAGTCTGGTTCCCTTACCTTATGTTACATAATACTCTTAATTTCTGTTTCCAAAAGTATAGAGAGTATGATTGTCTCCTCCACACGTATTCAGGGATCCCATGGCTTTACTGTCTCTGTCTCTGCATCAGGAGTGTTGGTGGCTGTGTTTCAAGTGAGCAGAGCAACTAGGTCTTTAGTTCTAAACAGTTGTGTATACCCACCCTGCTTGTCCAGCTCCATCTATATCTCAAAGCTCAAATTACAAGAGAACAGAAATGACCAGACTCAGTTCTTTTTTAGAAAGGAGCTGTGAATTTGTTGTTTCCAGTGGTGCTAAGAGGAGAAAAAGTTGGAGGCTGTGGATTTACTTAGGGTCTCCCTACCTTTTATCTCCTAATTCCACAAATGAATCCAAAACTCAGGCAAAGGCAAAAAGCTAGCTGACAAAATTGGGTTAACAAACCATACCCATCCAAATGGAAGGAAAGGGAAGGGAAGAGAAGAGAAGGGAAGGGAAGGGAAGGGAAGGGAAGGAAAGGGAAGGGAAGGGAAGGGAAGAGACGAGACGAGACGAGAAGAGAAGAGAAGAGAAGAGAAGAGAAGAGAAGAGAAGAGAAGAGAAGAGAAGAGAAGAGAAAGGGACCTTGGAGGTCTTCTAGTGTAGCCCCCTGCTCAAGCAGGAGAACCTATACCATTTCAGACAAGTGACTGTCTAGCCTCTTCTTAAAAACCTCCAGTGATGGAAGCCCACAATTTCTGAAAGCAAACTGTTCCACTGGTTAATTGTTCTCACTGTTAAGAAGTTTCTCTTTAATTCCAGGTTGCTTCTCTCTTTGGTCAGTTTCCAACCATTGTTTCTTGTCCTGCCCTCTGGTAATTTGAAGAATTATTTGACCCTCTCCTCTTTGTGGCAGCTCCTCAGGTACTGGAATACTGCTATCATGTCACCCTATTTCTTCTTTTCTTTAGACTAGCTAGCCAAGCCCAAGTCCTACAGCCGTTCTTCATATGTTTTAGTCTCCAGGCCTTTGATCATCTTAGTTGCTCTTCTCTAAATTTTTTCCAACTCTCAACATCTTTTTTGTGATATGGTGACCAAAATTGGCTGCAGTATTCCAGGTGTGATCTTACTAGGGTTTTTATAAAGCGGTAATAATACTTTGCGTGATCTTGATTCTATGCCTCTGTTTATACAACCCAGGATTGTATTAGCTTTTTTGGTTGCTGCTGCACACTGCTGGCTCATAGTTAAGTGATCGTCCACTAGGAGTCCAAGGTCCCTCTCACGGTTACTGTTTTTGAGCCAGGTTTCACCCAATCTGTACTTGTACCTTGATTTTTCCTGCCTAAATGTAAAACTTTGCTTTTTTCCACATTAAAATTCATTTTGTTGGATAGGGATCATTTTTCAAGTTTGTCAAGATCTTTTTGGATCCTGAGCTTGTCTTCAAGGGTGTTGGCTATTCCTGTCAGTTTAGTGTCATCTACTCACTCATCTAAGTCATTTATGAAGTATTGAAGAGCCTTGTGGTACCCCACTGCTTATTTCTCTCTATGTGGATGTAGTACCATTGAGGACTGCTTGTTGAGTACAGTTTGTCAGCCAGCTACAAATCCATCTGGTGGTGATGTTGTCCATTCCATCTTTTTCTAGCTTACCAAGAAGTAAGTTGTGATCTACTTTGTCAAATGCCTTACTGAAATCTAAGTATACTATGTTCACAACATTTCGCTGGTCTACTAATTTAATCACTTTATCAAAGAATGAAATAAGATTAGTTTGGCATGATCTGTTTCTAACAAATCTGTGCTGGCTACTAGTTATAACTTTGTTTGCTTCTAGTTGTTCACAGATCTGTTTTTTTATTATCTTTTCCAGGATCTTCCCAGGTATTGATGTTAGACTGATGGGTCTGGAGTTTCCTGGGTCTGTTTTTGTCCTTTCTTGAAGATGGGAACATCAGCCCTTTTTCAGTCCTCAGGTACTTCCTCATTGCTCCATGATTTTTGAAAGATATGGTGCAATAGTTCTGAGGTAACACCTGCCAGCTTCTTCAGAACTCTGGGATGTAATCTGTCAGGTCCCGGTGATTTATATTTGTCAAGGTTGGATAGGTGTTCTCTTGCCATTTTCTTGTTTATTTTAATTTTTGTTTCTAGTTTGTCTTTTGCAGGTTTTTTTTTTTTGGTATGTTGTGCTATAATTTCTTTTTGTGTGAAGACTGATGCAAAGAATGAGTTAAGCAGCTCTGCTTTCTCCTTACTGTCTGTTATTTCTTTGCCATCTCTCTTTAGTGGACCTACAGTTTCCTTGACTTTTTTCTTGTTATTAATATGTTGAAAGACTGTTGCAAGTCTTTGTTCGTTCTGAGCCTTTGCTTTCCTGACTTCGTCTTTGCATGTTCTGGCCGTCTGCTGATAATCAGCCTTAGTTATGTGTCCCTCTTTCCATTTTTTGTACTTGTCCTTTTTGTCTTTCAGTTTGTAAGAGAGATCTTTGTGCAGCCATGCTGATTTCTTTTTGACTTTTTCTTTTTCAGTGGTATTGTGCTGGACTGGGCTTTTATGATCGCATTTTTCAGAGTTTCCCACACTTCTTGAGTTGTTTACCCCTTTAGGATTTTCATCCATGGAATCTTTCCTAGGTTCTTTCTGAGTTTATTAAAATCAGCTCTTTTGAAATTTAAGACACTGGTTGGATTATTTTCTGTTGCTTATGTTTGCATTATATTGAATTCCAGTATGACGTGGTCACTTTCACCCAAGGTTCTGAACTTCAACTCCCTCTATCACTTCTTCTCTATTACTAAGAATTAGGTCCAGTATAGCTTTACTTCTAGTTCCCTCTTCCACCTTTTGAATGATAAATTTGTCGGCTAGGTTGGTTAGGAATCTGTTTGATCTCCCACTTGCTGCAGAGTTTGTCTCTCAGCTGATATTAGGATAGTTGAAGTCTCCTATTACTACTGTGATATGCTTCCTACATATATTTATTAACTGATGGCAAAGAGTTCACCTATTTCTTCTGATTGGTTGGGTGGCCTGTAATATATCCCTATGGCAATGTCACTTTTTTTCTTTTATAGTGACCCATATACATTCTGGAGGGATTTTATCTTTGATCATGTGCATTTCTGTAGATATGTAGTGTTCTCTTAGATATAGTGCAACTCCCCCTCCTCTTTTTGTAGATGTATTTCTTTTGAACAATTTATATCCATCCATCAGTACATTCTAGTTATGGGTTTCGTCCCACCAGGTTTCTGTAATGCCACTATGTCATGCCCACCCTCATGTGCTATTGCTCCTAGTTCACCCTGTTTGTTCTCCAAGCTTTGAGCATTTGTATATAAGCATTTAAGACTTTTATGCCTGTCCGTGGGTATGTTTCCTGCATCTCCTGATTGTTGTTGGAGTTTTTCTTTTTTCTCATCACTCCCTACTTCATTGTTTGTTTTCTTGGGATTTATGATTGGTTTTGTGTTCTAGAAATTCTAAAGATTGGTCACCCTTCCCCCTCAATTTTAGTTTAAAGCTCTTCTGATGAGTTGGACCAGTCTTTTTCCAAGTACATTTTTGCCTATTTTCGTGAGGTACAGCCCATCTCTTGCCAAGAGTCCTTTGTGTAGGAAATGAAGTCCATGGTCTTCATTCAGATGCATACTAGGATCCCTCCATTAGTTGAGTGCCTACATTTATTTCTACTTTCTAAAATCCAATGTGCATCTTTTATGTTTAGCTTTTTTAAAGGAACACATTGAGATAAAACACAATAAGAAATAACTAGAAAGATAATGAAAGTTAAAGAAAAGGCAGCAAAAAGGGGAAACAAGCAGAATAAAAATATTGGGTGGACATACCCACAGACCCCTACATAATTTAAGAGAAATTACAAACATTTTAAATATATGCATTCTATATTTCTATAGAAGTCTAAGAAAATTCATAGGAAAAGCAGAAGAATATTCATCCCTTATGCCACCTCTTCCTGTCCCTTTAAGTCCCAATAAGCATGGCAAAACAAAATCCAACAGAAGGACAAAAATCAAGGCCTGGTTCTTATCTACCCTAGGTAGTGCATCATTAAATACCTTTAGTAGAAGTTTAAAGCATTCTCTTCATTAAGACCTGGAAAGCAACTGCAATCCTCTTTTGCCTATCTACACCAAATAAAAAAGGAAGAACATTTGTGTGTTTTCTCTACAATCTTGCATGTCCTTGGGCATGGTTTCCCTTCAATATTTTGAGATACTAGGAAAACATTTAACTTTAAACATCTGCATCTGAAAGAATACTCAGTAGTGGTGTATATCAGCCTGTTTCTTTCTTTCTTGAACAACAGATCTGAGTATAACTTACTACCAGTCTGGAATTGTTTGGATTCAGTCTCCAAATGATGCTTCAGAGTATGAAGGAATATAAACACTATACGTCTACTCTAAAACATATGTGCAGATACATCTGGTCCTGAGCTCAAGCAGCTTCCCTCTATAGCTACTGCAGGATCCTGGGAAAGCATGAAGCTACTTTAAGGTGTTGCAGATAGGAAACAGGTTTGCAGCCCAAAGCCTATAGATTACAGAGAGTGCATATCATAGCCATAGCATTCAAAACAGAGGTGAACTCCATTATTAGAGAAAAAGTTACAGTATCAACAACAATGAAGGAGGTTGCTTGATGTTCATAAATAAGCTGGCAAAACTACGTTAATGTAGTTTGATGGATCAGTGAGACAGAATGCTGAGAAATATGCTTGCTTCATGGAGATAAAGTTAACCTGACTATTTGAGTTTGGAGGCAAATATTTCAGCTACATCGAAAGCTGATGGACTTTCAAAGTTTGCATGGAATCACTGTGACATTTTATTAGGACTGTCATCCCCCATTGCAAATATCTAGATGATCACCAGATGGGACCAAAACATCCAAAGTTTTATGCACGTGTTTGCTATCATTGGTGGTCATTGGATATTTGCAGCCCAGAAAGGCTAATCCTGATAACAAATCCTTACAATATTGCACATTTTACTTAGAACTTTAAAGAAACGCCAGGGCTGATAATGGAGTAGGATTACCTTTGTCCACATGCTGAATACATCTACTTCTTTTCATTCTTAGGGAGAAGTCCCCGAAGCAATCAGATTTGTGAGAGGTATGCTCACCCACTTTATTGAAAGAGAAACAGCGGACAGAAGTAAAGTGCTGTTATCTAGTGACTTCTCATGAAGATTGTGAAGGGTGAGTTTAAAATATTTCCTGAATGATAGGCTAACACAAATGTTTCCAGTTACAACACAACAAGCATATACAACTAAGCTGCTAGACTTTCCCTTCTCTGAACTCAAGTTGGAGGGAAAGGGAAAGGTCAAACTTGGTATAGAACCAGGTTTGAGACACTCAAGTGTTCAGTATTGGTAAACTTATCTGGCAACAGCCGGCAGCAACATTTTTCTTGATGGCTATCAGCCTTTAAAGGTAAACTAGGAAACCAAAATCATGTGAACCAATGTTACTTTTATTGTAAAGTTATACTAACAGAACCTTGCAGTCCCACCCTTTACCTTTGTGTGAACTAAGGAAGGGCTTGTCTGAGTTGTTTATGTAAGGCAAATATATATGTCTCAGGATAATGTTGCAGGATTCAGCCTGGGTTGGTCACTGGGGCCAAAGATGCTGGAGCCCATCCTCAGGGAATTTCTCTGTGTGCGTTGAGCTGTTGTGGGTGTGGAATTTATATGGTGCCTGTTGTGTGTAGCTTTTTAGATGTAGATTGGGGAGTTGATGGCTGGCCATTAAGTAGTTGGTTGTTGTTTCCTTGTGCTGCCAAGCCCCTGCTTCCTAAGTACTTGATAAGATGGGGGTAAATCTTCCTCCTGTCCCTCAAGGCTATTCCTCTATTCTCTACAGTGGCTGAATTCATAGAATGAGCTGGAATAATGGTAAATCAGGAGCCTTATGGGAAACTGAAAACACTTGTGTTGAGCATTTACCCAGTTGCTTAGCAGACTACATAGAAAGAAAGGGCAGAAAGAGTCCTATTTATGTTTCTTTGAATTTTCCATCTTTGCATAGTATAAAGTCTCAACATATAAAACGGTCGCCACATTCACACTGTATGTTGATAGTGAGATAGGCAGGGCATAAATTTAATAAAAATATGCAAAATTTGGTTAGTATTAACTTTGGCATTTGTATCTGTGTCTTAGTGTGTAAATCTATTATTTGATTAGATTATGGTTTATTGTATTGCACGCTCTCAGCAAATGGATTATTTCAGTAATCTAGATTAAATATTGTGTGTGAACTACAGCTATATTGTCATTTTATGGTGGGGAAAAAAGGACGTTTAAAATTGGAGGGGTTGTATAGAGATGCTTAGTATAGCAGAACATAGTTCAGAGAGTTTTACTGCCTTGGTCTGTCCTTGGGATTCCAGAATACAGTAGTTCATCATAATAGCAGAACCAGTGAAACTTAAACCTAAGGAAAAGGAAAAGAAAGTGAATGAAATTTCACGCCTTTCAATCCCAAAGAGGCAGTACTCATAGGACTGACACTGTTATCCCCTGATGAACTCAAAGGTATTCTCGTCACGGAAACAGACTCCAACTTCCAACTTTAATGAATGGTTTAGCTATACTTTTTTGGATGTGCTTTTTAATGTTTCGTGCATACATGTTTTCTTTTGTAGTTGTGTTTCAGAACAAGCCACACTCCCTCTTAATTATGCTATTCCAATCATATTTTAAGAGTATGTCTTGAGAAAGCATACAGCTGCTGCCTCATTTTTCCAGAGGTCTCCCATTCCTTCAAAGAGTTCATATCATCGAAGGAGACTGTTTATGCACGGTCTTCTAAGGGGAGGAAAGATAGAAGGATGAACAGAGCTATAAATTCTGTATTTTCTCTCTAGAAAATGAACCATAGAAAATTCATCAGACCAAAGCAAAGCCAGTGAAAAGAGCAGTAATCTTTCTACAGTATAAGCTACATATGCTTGTGGGGGTGTGTGTGTGAAATGTATTTCTGAATAAAAAGATGGTCAGCTTCTGCTCTCTGCTTCAAATCACTCCATTTCAAAGACACCTGCACAGTTTGGTTCAATGTGTAGAATGCAATTCTTTGTCCCCAAGTGTCCGGGGCTCCATGATACTATGAAAAGCACTGTTGTAAGATATAGAGACTTTTTCCTGAGGCCGCATTGAGACAGAAACGTGTAAAATGTGCCTTGCTACAGACTTTCCTCGTCTCTTCTCTTTGAGAGGACTGAGGATTACTTGCAAACCCACCATGAATTTTCAACTTATTATTTACCTGGGGGGGGGGTCTAGTCCCCTTCCAAGACCATCACTACGTGGCAACCCCAGCTGGGAACTTAATTATTTTCTGAGAGGGGAACCCTTGAAAAATAACAAGCAGTCAAGGAATACATTGTCCAGCCTGGGAATTGACAATTATGAATCAAGCGGTCAAAGTCTTCACATCCTAAGGAATTTTCCACATGAAGATATGGCTTGGGTAGTGGGCTGGAGCAAATATCTACATGAGATTGTAAATCAGTGTTAGAGTATGGATGTGTAGAGAATCTGGTTTAAGAATCATTTCCCAGATCTAGTAGAGATAAGATATTCAGGATTTAATTGGAGAAGCTGAGAAATTGACCATCATAGACTGACAGAGAGCTTTCAGGCTGGCAAAAAGATCTGCCTCTATAGAGGTATGAGAGAGTAACAGAAAGTAAAATGCAAATATATTTAGAAAATTCTAAATGGCATGACATATTATTTGAAATATTACCATTTACCATATGTGTCCACCCAATTTTAAATTATTATTAATAGGTTTTCCTCTTGATTCACTATTGCTTGAAACGCACAAGTCTACAGAAAGGGGTCTAGATTGTGGTACTGTGTTAGTGGTGATCTGTCATTCTTAGAAAAAGCACCTGTTTTGATTGTTTTGGCATGAAATGAAGACAGTTTTAAACAACTTCAAGATTTAGCAGGTTGCTATAGCTGATGCTTTGGTAATTATATAATGTTTAAGCTACATCACTATTAAAGCACCAGAGCCTGCAGTACTTACCAATTCATCCCCAAGAGCTAAGGAAGTTCAGACTTGATTATTTGGATGGGAGACCACAAGATGGAAATCCAGGGACTATAGGCTACATTGGGAAGAACATTCTGGTAGAAGACAATGGTGAACCATTTATGTAATCATTAAACATATTTTTCTTTTTTGAGGCTCTTTTCAACTACGAGTACTAAAAGTCAGGTGCATGGTTTCCACGTTGAGGTTCATCTTCTCCTTCCCTGCAATGCCAAAAGACTGGTTCTGAAGTACAGACCCAAAAACTTTGTATCATGAGAACAATCTTTAATGAGGAAACATATGCACTGCAGGTGCTAAAACAGTCATTACAAGACTATTCCAACATGTAACAGGGCAGGGCTGGCTGCCTTCACAAGCCGAGTCCTCCATTGCGGTCCTGGGAGCTGAGGACTCCGTCACGCTTGGCCACCCAGCTTCATATACCTATGGGTACCAACTATTGAGGGAAAAGTGCACAAGGAACAGTTCACATTTCACGCTATTTCAGAGGGAGGCATTAATGGGCCGAGGGTGGGGAAACGGAGGCTTCATGAGCCTCAACAGTCAGCCAGGTGGGCAGGTTAGCACCATCAGGTTGGGAGAGGATTGGAGGAAGGTTTCAGAGCACACATGCTTCGCTCAAGATATCCTATGGCTTGAAAGGCCAGTGAATAGCTCATATAGGAAAACCCTCCATCCCTCAGCATGGAGAGGAGAAAATACTCTGTCTCACTGAGTATTAAAGGAATCCTTTATCCCCAAGTTCAGAGTAAAGAAGGTGGCTGGTATGAGTAGATGGAGAAGCTGGTTCAGCCAACCCACACCAATCCCTTTCTGTTGTCAGTACTGATGGGAATCAACTTCTGCTCTGTTAGCTCCTCTTTTGCAAGATGAGGAGAAGAGGTACTAAAAGGACAGGACAACTAGGTTCTGCTGCTCTTTCACCCTATCCCCAGGCAGTAGGGGCTAGGATTATGGTCAAGAGGCTGATACAGTTGGACAGAACAAGCCTCTTCTTGGACAGAGACGTTTAAGAAATTGGAAATAGAAAAGCTTCAAGATATTCCAGTACTTTAAAAGAAAAAAAGCTACAAAGAATGAGCCATGAAGACAGTTGCTGTCTGATACAAGTCAATGGGAAGAGCAAGAGCTACCATCCTCCTCCCACTATAACCATAGACTATATTCTCTTACAGGAGCCAGGAAGACAGCTCTTTCTCCTATAACAGAGTGTGCCAAACACTCATTTTTACTTGGGGGGGGGGGAGGTACAGAAAAAAGAGATACCATTTGAGCTTGGTCATCTTCTATACAGTCCTCTCAAGAGCTTTCAGTTGAGAATATGGATAATAAGGGGCAGAAGCTCACAATTATTAGCAACATTGTCCTATGAGACAACAGACATAAAGGAGGTTTGTCTACCCTTGGATAATTCTTGGCTGATCCTCTTCCCTTGCACAGTAAATACAATGCCTGAATGGGGACCTCTGTCCTCCAACCCAGCTGAGCCCCACCCTAGCCTGGCCCACATCTCCCCCTTCTATCCTACTGCTAGTACACAAAGCACCTTTATTTCAGTATTTTTTTCCACGTGATGCACAAACAAGTCAAAATGTCACTTATCCAAAAACCCAACGTGCAAAACAGAAAGGAACTGGCACAGACAGACCCTCTTGGCCCTGTCCCCTCCCCAGGGCCGCCCCCTCTTCCCCCACAGTACTTGAGGGAGCTCCCACCTTCTTTAGGAACAAAGGCAGGTCTTCCCTCAGTGCATCACCTGGCACTTAGTACAGCTGTGGGGTGAGGAGAGGGATAGGGCCCTGTCGTCTCATTCCCACAGAGGGGAGCAGTTGGCTCCGCAGGGCACGGCATTGGGTGCAGGCAGCAGAGTGCTTGCCCGTGTCAGTGGCTCCGGTGAAAAAGGTGTGGCTGCCTTGAGCTCGCAGGGTGTTGGTGGCAGCCAGGCAAGTGGGGGTGGAGATGGTGTCCTTAGTTGGGGGACAAGTCTGGAGGGTAGCTACCAAATGCCACTAGACCTGCCTCCGGGGGGAGCGAGAATCCGGGCCGAAGCTCGCTTTGGAACATGGTCATCGATTTGAGAACCTGTAGCAAAAAAAAAAAAGGAGACAGAGAAGATGCAGAGTCAAAAGCAAATTGGCTAAGGCGAAATCACATACCAACTATCCTGTCCCTACAGGGTCATTACAAGGACCAGGAGAAAAATCACCTGCATTTATAATTTAATTTTTATAAAATAATTTATTTGAAGCCATCTTCAGTAGAAAGCAAAATAGGACATGTGTGAATGAAAGGATAGATTCAGATTAGCTTTACAGAGCATGATTCATGAAGAGAGATTTCAAAGAGTTCCTTAATTTTATCATTAATAAAGTTTTGTGAAAGTCCATAATTCTTCATTGTGGAATTTCCAGCACCCAACTTTGTAGAGTGGAACCCATAGATTTCCCACCCACTCTCAGTTTCATAAAAAGGCTATTATAAGTAATATATATGAAGTGATCTGGAATTGGAGGAGCTCTCTGTGATTCTCTTGTCATGGTCAGATCTTGCCCTGGTAACCATGAGGTTTTTCTGACACTGCCCCCCTGCTGTGGAAAGGAGCCATTAGAACAGTTCCTCCTTAATGACTGATAGACCCAGAAAGGTTCCAGAGCGAGCTAGGGATTGTCCTAACAGTTTGCTTCATTATCCAACTGAGACCTTAAGTGCTGCTTGGAATGTGAAAGCCATTTTGGCCTGGATTGGATTGTACCCATGTGACCTCTCCTTCCCATGGATCCCGTTGCTCTCTGCGGTTTATGAGGGACCTGAGGGAAATGAAATGGGAAAAGACACAAAGAACCACTGCAGGGCATTGAAGGATTAATTCAATCAAACAGGGATAAAAGCCTCTATTAAAGTGGTAGGGGCAGTGAAATAGCAATATTTTCCAGCCCTTATTGTGTTTGCTGATTGCTATCTAGAGCAGAGTTCTGCAACCTTTCTGGCTTTGTGGCCCAGCCAGGGTGGAGGGGAGAGCAAATGGAGCCCGTGTGCATGTGCTTGGTTGCTGCTCATGCAAGTGGGGATGCCCATGTGCATGCTTGCGTGCCATTTCTGTGGCCCAGTTCCAAACAGCTCCAGCAGTGGGCCATGGCCTGGGGGTTGGGGACCCCTGATCTAGAAGCTTTGTTTTGAGTGACTTGAACCCTTCTGGAAAAGGAGAACCCAGAAATTAATCTGCAAGGTTGGGTGAAGGAATTTTCAGAGCTTCTATCAGACAAAATGGCTCAGATTCGTTCCCTGTTAGATACCAGTCTTGGTGCAAATCTGATGGAGATGTCTGGGGCACATTCTGGGAATAAAAATCTGTTGGGTCTGAGGAAGGGGACAAGGACCTTTAAACTGCAAGGTCAGCCGCCTGCTCCCTCCTGCTGCACCTGCCCATCCCATCCATCATCCCATCAGATACAGCAGGAGCGCCCGCCTGGGCCCCATCTGCGGAAGAACTCCATCAGATGGGTCCTAGAGCCTTTTCTGTGGTAGAACCTGCCTTCTGGAACACCATCTCTCCTGAGGTTAGATCAGCCCAACCCTTCTGGCCTCCCAGAAAGCCTTCAAAATGTTTTTTTTCTAGCAAGCCTGGGGACTACTAATATAGTGATCCTGCATGTTGTCTACATTTTATTGTTTACATTTTTCTGCCTGTGGTCTTGTTTTATTATGTTTATTGTTTTGATTGCTTTAATTGTTCATAATTGTTTTAGCTGGTTTGCAGAACGTTTTTGATTGTTGGTTTTACTGCACACCACCCAGAGTCATTTTATGTGAGATGGACAGCCATATAAATTTGACAAATAAATAAATGTATAATCTAGAAGACAAGATATGTGCTGAAATGTAATAGGCACCATAAGAGACATATTGCAAATAATTAATCTGAACATTTTATTTTGCATAAAGAACCAGAAGGAAGCCTGAACAGTGGCCATAGTCTAGGTGATGGAGAAAGACAAACTTGTTTCTCTTTTCTGGCCTACTTAGGGACTACATCTTGGAAGCAATTTCCATTTCAATTTAATTTTATGTAACAAAAATAACAGCTTTAGAGAGATTTTTGTTGGAATATAACAAGAAGTGAGACAGCAACACCTAAACAATGTTGATTGTTATGAAAAAAATCAAACAAGGTCAGATCTATTGGAGCTGGATAGG